TACGCTGACAACAGGGCCATGATCCTCTTGTGTCAGGAGCCACGACTTGAGGGCAGAGCGAAGCACATCTAGCTGCAGTACTTCCTCCTACGAGAGCTGCAGCAGCGTCGTCAGGCTCGTGTAGTACACTTGGCCTCAGGTGCCAATACAGCTGATATCTTTACAAATGCGCTTGCACCTAAAGATCATCTGCGGCACTGTGTACAGCTAGGTCTCGTTCCTATAGCCTCTCACTTGCTAGGACCTTGATTCTGTACATACCCTTTTTTTTTCTACCCTGACTGGCCTTGTGGCCTCTTCCTAGTGGCTGGACTAGAAGTGCCACCCTGGTCTTGCTCTTGCCTTGTCTGTACTTGTTTGACTGGTATTTAGACCCCTGCATCAGAGGCTGGACTAGTAGTGCCATCCTGAGCTGTTTCTCTCTCTCACCAGGCACTGCCCCTATCTAGTCTAGGGGGTGTGTCAAACATAGAAACGTATATATTGTATGTTACAGTAGACTATATAGGGTTGTGCCTTAGGGAGTACATATTAGAAGACAAACTTAGCTAGGAAGGTAGGCGGCCATGAAATGGCGAGAGGTTTAGGAGCTATGAGAGCAATTTTACGAGAGAAAAGAGAGGTGGAATAGAAGAGAGAGGCATACAAGGAGGGAGTTGTACCCTCTACAGTAGAGTTCAGTAACACTTACCAAGCCTACAATTATATTAACAAATATAATTTAACACACCCCCTAGGCTTGGTAGTGGCAAGCCGACACAGACCCACACCCTCTAACCTAGCACCCCCATACTCAGTAGCAGTGACTGCTACTTCAGCACGGTCTACCCCACGGCGTGTGAGGTGGGGCGACGTCGACAACGAGGACAACGGCTGCAACGGCGGCGACGGCGGCAGCGTCGACAGCGGCGGCGCCGGCGGCGTGCGGCGTTGTGGCCAGCGGCACCAGCTGCAGCGGCGGCGGAGCTCGCAGCACTCGGCGGCGTGGCCGGGCTCCGCGACGTTTGGACGGCCGGTGCGAAGTAGCGGTCGGCTGCTGCAAGGAAGAGGGGACGCAGGGGAAGGGGGACGGGGCTGCAGCAGCGGAGCCCGGGAGCGTGCCGCCCCGTGTGGAGCGCTGGCTGCACGCAGGCGTGCTGGCCAGCACTAAGAAGAGGCGCTGGCCGCTGCCGTGCGTGCCGTTCGCGCGCTGTCGCGTAGACGCCGCGGCAGCACGACGGCGCCGTCACGCTGCCACAGTTTGACGTCGATGCCGACGCCGCCACGGCTTGACTTCGACGCCATGACGCCACAGCAGCGCGTCGCGACGGCCGCGGCAGCACGACGCGGCCGGCGGCACGACGACGCGGCCATGGCAGCACGACGCGGCCACCATGGCAGCGCGAGAGAGAGAGTAGAAGAGCGTGGCGGAAGCGTGAGGAGCAGGCCCACAAAGAACGAACAGCTCTGATTCCATGTTAGAAGACAAGCTTAGCTAGGAAGGTAGGCGGCCATGAAATGGCGAGAGATTTAGGAGCTAGGAGAGAAAATTTACGAGAGAAAAGAGAGGTGGAATAGAAGAGAGTGGCATACAAGGAGGAAATTGTACCCTCTACAGTAGAGTTCAATAACACCTACCAAGCCTACAATTATATTAACAAATATAATTTAACAGTACAACCCATTAGGCTATATACCCCTGTATGTTCTGTTCTGGTTAACTTTTCTCACTTTAACACTTGTCATAGAGAGTACAACCCACTAGCTGTATAGCCCTGTATACTCTCATTCTAATCAATACTTATAACTCTGAGAGACACGTCAGAAGTTCCTGTAATACAACGAACTCTGCGAAATTATCAAGTGGCACTATCATAATTCCAGAAATGAAGGGGAGTGTTATGATAAAATCGTTCTTAAGCATTTTTGTAAGTAGTTCTGATAGATATTGTCGAGTTACACTGTAGTTCGCATCCGTAGAATGATGTCAGCAAATAGCACTCGTCTGGATGGTTACGTCAGCAGACAGTTTCAGTCACGCGAACAGTCCCACTCTTTTCAGTACAAATAGCGCAAATAGTTTTGAACAGGTACATTACCGAGTAGGTACTTCTAGCAGGTATAAGAGTAACTTGTATGATTTCAATTATCAACTTGTTCTTCAGTAAATTCTGGTCAACACTTACAAGTTGAAAGACTTCCGCTGTCTTTCCAGACTAGTCTACCATTCCAGCAAAGATCCTTGGGCAAGTCTTGATGTATCACAAAACTATAACACTAATTCTGGTGTTACAACTTGTTAGTACTAGCTGTTACTTGAGGTACCAGTATTATTTTCTACTTGTGTCTGCAGATTCTGTACTTAGTCTCTTGCACCGTTTTACAAACTCTTTCAAGTACAATGTTCAACTCTTCTCGTTATCCTTTAAATCTAGTCTAATGTCTAGTAGTTCTCGAAACACTTATTCAGAGTCCTTCTGGCCCTTCCTTTCTCCTAGTCACCCTACATCACAGTGTACCCGGGTCCTCCCCCGCCCTCGGGTACAGTCCACTGAATGTTCTGAGTCGGGTCCTTGATATCGCATGCCTGGAAGCAGGGCACACAGAGGAGAATGATGATTGAAGGTTAGGCGAGCACACAGGGGGGAAAGGAAGGGTACATGGCCAAGGGGGAAACAATGTGCTACATTCCTTGCACATGCCTTGCAGTGCGATACATGCGTTGCAGTGGGATACATGCCTTGCCGTGCAATACATGCCTTGCCGTGCGATACATGCCTTGCAGTGCGATACATGCCTTGCAGTGCGATACATGCCTTGCCGTGCGATACATGCCTTGCAGTGCGATACATGCCTTGCAGTGCGATACATGCCTTGCAGTGCGATACATGCCTTGCAGTGCGATACATGCCTTGCAGTGCGATACATGCCTTGCAGTGCGATACATGCCTTGCTGTGCGATACATGCCTTGCAGTGCGATACATGCCTTGCAGTTCGATACATGCCTTGCTGTGCTATACATGCCTTGCTGTGCTATACATGCCTTGCTGTGCTATACATGCCTTGCTGTGCTATACATGCCTTGCTGTGCTATACATGCCTTGCAGTGCGATACATCCCTTGCAGTGCGATACGTGCCTTGCCGTGCGATACATGCCTTGCCGTGCGATACATGCCTTGCCGTGCGATACATGCCTTGCAGTGCGATACATGCCTTGCAGTGCGATACATGCCTTGCAGTGCAATACATGCCTTGCAGTGCAATACATGCCTTGCAGTGCAGGCAGTTCTGTGCGTTGATGCTGAGAGACGCCTCCCCCTTGTCGTCCTGCACATACCTGCCATGTCCACACACCACATCATGGCAAGCACACGTGTCCAACCATAAGCTGTGTATGTGCTCACGCAAAATCCTGCACTGCCATAATGCCATTCGCCACTGCCACTATGTGGCTGGGACTAGAATAAGTGCGTTAAACCATCTCACACACAACAGCTGGAACTGTGTCAAATCACAAACCTCCGCACCACCCTCTTCACCCTCCTCAACGATCAACTCTTCTCCCCTCCCGCACCAACCAAGCCTGCCCCCTCCCCTCCACCAGCTATCCTCCTGCTCCTCAGCACACTACTCCCGCACATACTTTCCCCAGCTCCACCTTGGCCCATCCCCAAGCCCTCTCAAACCCTCCAACCCCTCCCCCACTCACTCATAGACGCGAGCGGGGCAGTAGCGGCCCTCGGGCCCACCGTAGAGCGGCAGGTTCACAGTCGTGGGCACCGCAGGGTCCCTCAGCCGCAGGTGCGGTGGCTGGTCGTGCTCGTGGTTCGTGCTGCTCCTGGAAGGGGGGGGAACGGGGAGGGGGTTGGTGGGGGAGGGGGAAAGGGGCAGAAAGTGAAGGAGATGGGAGGGAGGGAGGGGGGGTTGTTTGGATGGGGAAAAGGACATGTGTAAGGATGGGAAGAGAGAAGTAGAGCAAGGTGAGGATAGGAAGAAGGCACACGTGGTGGGCAGCTGGTGATGGTGAAGGCGCTGGCGCCAGCAATGAAGGCACGGGATAGCGAGGTGGGGAGCAGAATCCACCCAAGGCACAGCGCCGGGAGCAAGGAGCGTGCCTGTAGAGCGAGGTCGGGATGTCGAAGGTTATGGTGCCATCGGGCTTCGGGTAGTCAATGGGCTTCGCGTCCGATATCTGCCATGCCGTACACCAGGGGGGGTCATGCCCCATCATGCCATGCCATGCCATGCCATGCCATGCACAGGTGTAATGAAATGCACACATGCAGGGGAGAAGTGAGATGTGGTTGTGTTGGCCGTTGAATCATCACGACAATGCAGGTGTGGCAGTCTTGTGTTGGCGCCACAAGAGCACAACGTGCTGCCGCCACCAGCCCACCCCCCATGTCACAAACGCCAGTCGCAAGTCAACAGCACTGCTGTGTCGCAATGTACACCAAACGAAACCATGCTCCCTCCTGCTTACCTGCTCCGCTCCCCCCCCTCAACATAATGTACATGAAACGGAAACATGCGTGCCTCTTCCCCCCCTCCCCTGACCTTGGTGAGTGTCTCGTTGTCCCTCTCTGCATGGTGCGCCAGAGTCCACGGGGAACGACCACGAGAAATGTACCTGATGCAAGGGCAGTGGAGATAGGGGAATAGGGGTGGGAGGGGGTGAGGGGGAGGGCGGTTGGGGGGGGGGAAGAGGAGATGTGATTGGTGCTTGATGGCAGGGCGTGCAGCAGGGGACAGCATGGATGGCAGAAGGTGGTAGATGTAGCAACGGCGGAGAGGCGTGGGCATGCAGGGCGTGGGGAGAAGAGAGAGTGTGGGAGTGCGGGCTCACGTTTCAAAGGCTGCGTTGATGATGCCGGGCACCAGGCCGTGCTTGAAGCCCTGCGTGCACCACAGTGACACATGGGTCCCACATACAGCCGCATGGCAGATGAGCACACGGGAGCGTGAAGATATGGATTGAACATGGGAGGTAAAAATGAGAGGGGCCTAGAGGAAAGGAATGATGGCATCATGGCAGTGCACGAGAAGGTGTCCTTGGGAGGGCGTCGGGCTTGCAGCATGCAACGGAAGACATGTGAGCACTCTGGCATATGGCACGGTACAGCTGGGCATGGCATGGCATGGGATGGCACGGCAGGGAACAGCAGGGCGTGGCATGGCATGTTAGTCGACAGCATGGCATGGCATCTCACGGGTCGGATGTTGCGTGCTCTGTGCAGCTCCTCCCACAGCCACGATGAGCGCATGGCAGCCGGGTACGTGTCCGCCATGTGGGCATCCACCGCCGCGTCTGCCTCCACGCTGCGCCCGCTGCCGCCTGCTGCCAGCGCTGCTGCTGCTGCCTCCGCTGCCACCATCCCTGGGGAACCACAGGCGATGGGGCAACGGGGGGGAGAGGTGCGCAGGTACCTTCAGGTGGCTGTAAGCAAATGCCTCACCGAACTAGTGTCTTGGAGATGAGGTGGATGAGAAGATTCACCTGACTTGATGGTGTGGCGGTGTGCGGTACCTGACTTGATGGCGGTGTGCGAGCCCTTGATCTTGGGCACGTTGAGGAAGCCAGCAGCGCACCCCACTAGCGCACCGCCTGGGAACACCAGCCCGGGGATGGACTACCGTGGGGAGGGGTTGGCGACGGGAGGGACACAGGGAGTGGGAGAGCGGGAGATGGGGCGAGTTAGGGAGTAGGCAGAAAAAGGTTGAAACACGCATGCATAAGCCGGACGTAATCCCATTCAGGTAGCAATGGTGCATAGCCAGACCCACGATGCAGTCCTCCTGTACCCCCCCGCACTGATTCCCCCACGCTTTCCATGCCTCACTGCCCCTTCTCACCTGCAGCCCCCCCTCGTTGAGGGTGCGAGCACCGTACTGCACCACTCTGCCCCCCTCCAGCACTCGCCGGATGGATGGATGCAGCTTCCACCGCTGTCAGGGGGTGGTGGGTGGAAGAGGGGGGGGGAGGGGGGGAGTGGTGGGGAGTGGTGGAAGGGAGGTGGAAGAGTAGAGAAAGAGGAAAGGCAAGTGGTTACGAGACAATGGGTTGGCGGAAGATAGCAGTGCTCTTGTGACAATGGGTTGGCGCGGGAGTAATGGGGAGTGCAGGTAGGGCTGTAGAGCAGGTGAAGTGTGGGGTGCTTCACAAGGCGGCATGTCACGTGCACATGGTTGGCCACGTCAGTCGCATGTATGATGGACCGTGCTGCGATCTCATGACATGTCACAATGCCACTGACCTGTCCAATGGGGTGTACCACGTGGATACCATACCATGATGCATCATTGTGCGCCCGTACTATCGCCATCTAGCGCGTACCTACCGAGTTGTCACAGCACGTCACTGTCACCGTTGCCACATGTACGTTGGTTGTTGAGAATTCTCAAACACCAACTTCGCTCACGGCGTTAACTCCACCATTCCCATGCTCTCTCGCCACAACCACAGTGACACCATGTGAGGCCTCCCCTCCCACCCATTCCCACCACCCCCCCAGCCCCTGGTACCGCCCAGACTGGTCCCAACCCCCCCCCTTGCGTGTGCGTCCCTGGGTGCGCACCTGGAACTCCTGGTACGGGCTCAGGTACGGGTTGCGGTAGTCCAGCGCCACCACCAGCCCCAGCGCCACCTGCTCCCGGGGGCGCACATGCGATGCGACAGTGGTTAGTGGCCACATGGTGGGGCGCACATGCGCACATCCGCCCTTAACGGGTGCGAGTGGGTACATACAGTAGGAAACAATACACGAACATGCATGCGCGGTGCTATATGTGGCATAAGTCGGACAGGCTGTGCCCTCCATGCCTCCATCCATGCACGTCTCACCATGTCCCCCCCACCAAGGTGCAAAAAAAGGGCATCCGTATTAAACGGTCCGTTTCAAACAGCCGTTTTTTACGGTGGGTTTTGGTAAAAAACGACGTTTTTTTGTTAGACCTTTTTTCATGATTTTTCTTTTTTTACGTATAAAAAGCACGCGTAAACAAGTGGCATGATTGCTAAGGCGGCCTGCATCGTTCTACGGGGTAATTAGCGGCTTTGAAATAGGTATGTGATGTCCATGCCCCTAGTCCGTCGCCTTCTAGGTCTCATTCTGCTCCTACTCCACCATCCCCCCCATCCTCCTCCTCCTAAGCGTCATCCATCTAGTCCTCCCCCCCCTAAGCGTTAATAGCTCGGCCAAAACCAATGTACACCGTATTATACGGTGGTACGAAAAAAACGGTCGTATAAAACGGCCGTTTTTTTGCACCAAACGCAAAATGCAACTTTCGACCGTTTTAATCGTATTATACGACCGTTTTATACGATCCCGTTTTAAATGGTAAAAAAAGGTTAAAAACGCCGTTTTTTTGCACCATGCTCCCGCCCACTCACCATGCTCAACCCCACTCATCAAGGTTCAAAATTTCGCCGAAGTCTTGACTATTTTGGACGAATCGTTTTCGAAACTTTCCGTTGGAATCATCAAAATTGGGTTTCCCTCTTTTGGTGCAAAATTTCGGCCGCAAGTTTCGGAAGAGAGGGTGTGGGAAGGGAGGGCGGGGAAAGGGCATGAAAGGGAAGTGGTAGTGCGTCCAAAAATGGCTCAGAAGCCTTCGAGGATTAGTGACATTTCAATGTGTTTTTGTACTCCCCAGGTTTCTAGAATGCAAATGATGGTTGTGTGTAGTGCATGTGGAACATTTGGCAGGATTACAAAAAAAAAAAAGAGTTAGCATCATCTGCTAATGAAATTTGACCGATTTTTTCAAAATCTGGCCGAAACTTTCCGTCGAAAGTTTCCAACCGAAATTTTGACCCTTGCCACTCACCATGCTCAACCCCACTCACCATGCTCAACCCCATCGCACCATGCCCCCCCTGTCTCACCATTCCTCGGTCCATGTGGTAGAGGAACCCCCCCCCATATGTGCGCGAGTCCAGCGGGTACCCTATGCTGTGCACCACCTCGCCCGGCCGCTGCTGCGCCTCTGGTACCTCCCACACCTGGGGGGGGGAGAGGTGACAGGAGACGTGGGGGTGTGGGGGGTAGGAGGGGAAAGATAAGCAAGAAACAGAGACAGCGAAAAATGTGTGTGTGTGTGTGTGTGTGTGTGTGTGTGTGTGAGAGAGAGAGAGAGAGAGAGAGAGAGAGAGAGAGAGAGAGAGAGAGAGAGAGAGAGAGAGAGAGAGAGAGAGAGAGAGAGAGAAAGAGAGTGAGAGAGAGAGGGGCAGAGAGAGAGCGAGGAAGAGGAAGAGAGGGAAGGTGAGAGAGATAAGGAGAGAGGGGTAGAGAGAGAGAGAGAGAGAGAGAGAGAGAGAGAGAGAGAGAGAGAGAGACCCGTGGATGGCCACAAGGCAGACCTCGCCATCCGAGACCGCGGAACAGCGGCAGTCTGGATCTGTGATGTCACTGTCACAGACCCCATCGGCAACCGGGACCCCACAGCCCGCAAGGGGCGGGGATTCGCAGCGAGGGAACAGGCGGACAAAAAGATTGACCACTACAAAAACCGGGCGGCATATGTCGGTTTCTTCCCCTTGGCCGTAGAAACATACGGCTGCCCCTGCTGGGAGGTGCCGGCCTTCCTCAAGCTCCTGGCCGAGGCGGCTGCAAGGAAACTCTTCAATGCGGAGCCAGCCACCTACCAGGCGGCCAAGCTCCTACACCAGTTCCGCCAGCGTTGGTCCTGCACCCTCCAGCGGAGCCAGGCCGCGTCCTACCTCAAGAAGGTGAACGAGGCGGCCCAGGCAGAACACCCCGCCCATCGGCTCACCTGAAGGGACCCTCTCTCCAGCTGACTGCTTCGCGGTCCTGGAGCCGGTACTAGAGTGGTCATAGGCACACCGTGTGCGTAGGCACTTTGTACTCACCTTTCTTGCCAAACGGTGCCTAGTTGTACCCAGGTTTCAGAAATACACGGACCGCTTGAGAGAGAGAGAGAGCGAGAGGTGGGGGGGTTGGTAAGCGAGGAGCAGAGGAGAATGGGATGTGGAGAGATCGTGGTCGTGGAGGAGTGGAACAGTGCCGGTGATGAAAGCGAGTCCGGTGAGCAAGCAGAGAGTGTCCAATGTCCATGAGTCCATTTGCCACTCAGCTTCCCTCCCCGACTTTCCTCTTGCTTCTGCACCATTCAAACCCTTTATCTCTTTCCCTCCTCCTCCCCCACAGCCACCCTCCCCCTCCTCCTCCTACTCCTCACCTCCTTAACCCCCAAGGCGTATGTCTGGTGCTGGGCACCCGCCTTGAGCCGCAGCGAGTATGCCGCCATCACCTCCTGGTGTGGGAGTGGGTGGGCACACAGGGGTGGTCAGAGCGGGGTGGGCAGAGGGGAGGAGGAATTGAAGAGGCGGAGAGGCATGGGGGGAAGGAAGATGAGAAGGAGGAGCTCTTATGTGCCATATTACTGTGCGAGGACGGGGAGGGGTAAGGTAGCGCCAGTGTCAGCGGGAAGGTGGGGCGAGGTGCGTTGACAGCGTAGCACGTCATGCGATGAGGTGCAGTGGAGTGGAGTGGAGGCGTGGCAGTGGGAGGTGCATTGACACATGCGAGAGCAGGCGCAGCGGGCGCGCCATGGCGCCCTCTCACCCACCTCTGAAAGCGACCCTCTGCAGCCCTCAGCAAGGATGGTAAGGCGCCCTGCCATGCGGGCATGGGTACATGGTGCATCAAGTGTTAGGGCTAGACCACAATGTTCTGATTGTATTTGTGCTTTCAAATCCTAGGTTGGTATAGGATGGCTTTCATGGGTTGGGTGATACACACAATTTCTCCAACCAACCGATGGGGAAATTCGGCCGATCCCATGAAAAGTTTCTACCCAATTCCCTTCTCACCCATCCCAACCCGTTTTGCGATGTACTTGAGAGCCTTGAATGCTACCATTCAATCAATGCTTTCAACTCGACTTCTTACCTTCGACCAGGGCATGGACGCAAGGCAGGCGTGCATGGAGGGCCATGGATGCACCATGCGTGCAGACTGCACGCACACGACTGATCCCTGCCTCTCTTCATCCATGCCGCATCTTTGAGCGCCATGTCGCACCTTTGAGCGCCATGCCGCACCTTTGAGCGCCATGCCGCGCTGGAAGGAGGGCTTGCGCGAGGCGTCCTTGGCAATGCCCACGTCGTTGGTGGCGATGCCGCTCACCCGGCGCTGGTTGTGGAACCCGTGCGTGGACGAATACAGGACCTGCCGCACACCGCACGCCGCGCCACCGGGGATGGGCAATTGTGATGGTTGGCAGGCAGTGCGATATGGAGGGTGCGGGGGCGTTGGTAGGAGGAAACCGAGAGAGTGAAGAAGGTGAGGGCGTTGGGGGAAATGGTGGGGAGGAGAGAGTGCGCGCATGGCTGACAGTGACTGAGCATGGCAGTGAGGAAAGAAATGGCGAGAACAGGGCGCAGTCCTCCCTCTCTTTCCATGCCTCTATCCCTTCCCACGCCTCCATCTCTTCCCATGCCCCATCTCCCCCCTGTCCCCACCTCCCCATAATCCTTCCTCCCCATGCCCCCCACTTGTCCCCCTTCTCCCCTTTCCCTGCCCGCGCGCCTGCACCTTGCTGGCAGCGAAGCCTGGGTAGATCTCCACGCCCATGTCCTCCGCCCTGCCCGCCATCCACCGCACCAACTCGCTCAGACTGCCCCGCCAGCAACCAACGCGGGCGGAGGGGGGGACGGGGGCGGGTGTGGGGAGAGGGAAGAGCGGGGAAGGATGGGGTGGGGGGAGCGGGGAAGGGGAGGGGGAAATGGAGGAGTTGGGGAAACACGAGTGTAGAGGACGCAGGAGGAAGTGAGTGCGAGGCGGTGCAGGTGAGGTGCCATCCATGGGTAAGAGGAGAGGTCAGAGGAGGGTGGGGTAGGGGAGACGAGGCAGGGGAGGGCGCGAGACCTGATGACATAGTTGCCGTGGTTGCTGGAGGGCGGTGGGAGAGGCACGGCTGCCGACTTGGTAAGGTACACAAAGCGGTCCCTCGCCACAGCCACACTGATGGGCGCCTGCCAGGCGGGGGCGAGGGAGAGGGACGTGGGTGGAATGGGGGGTTGGAGAGAAGGTGAATGGATTATGGGGCAGAGAGGAGTGTTGGCATGGGGCAAGACGTGCGAGACAGGAAGGCATGGAGGGAGCAGGCGTGGCTCCACGCTGTCATTCAAAGCGCCATGCTGCGCATGCAGCATCACTCCACGCCAACCAGCCTCTCCATTATAACCCACGCCCACAACCCCCCGCTCACCCCCTCGTCGCGCCAGTGCGGCAGCAGCTCGTCCAGCGCGCGCGGCTCGAACACATTGCCGGACAGCGTGTGCGCGCCTGCAGGGGCACAGGGAGCACGCCGCAGGCCAAACGGGTGGCGAGCGGGGAGAGGGGATGGTGAGCGCGTGTTGGGAGGGTGCTCAATGGACGGGACAGCGGCCGGATCGGAGGCACGGAAGGGGTGGGGTATGAGGGAGAAGACGGGCGATTCCAGTGGCCCGTGCAGCAGCCCATTCCCATTCTGCTCTCAGCACACCGGGCGAGCGAAACGCGGCACACCTGCCGGGGCACGTGCGCGTCGCCAGGTAGGGCCTTTGTTCTGGAGATTTGGGCTATGTGCATTCACGCCACACGCGCACACATGCAGTTGCTATCGATAAACTTCACCATACAGAATTTCGTGGATAAGACGTGCATACTACGCGTGTTCGGGCCCAGCGCCATGCGCGCACCTGCCTGCGCGCCCTTCTCGACGACGCACACGCTCAGCGCCTCGTCCACCTGCTTCAGCCGAATGGCGGCCGCCAGCCCCGCGGGCCCCGCGCCCACCACCACCACGTCGTACTCCATCTCCTCGCGCTCGCCCGCCTCCGCCTCCTCCTCCTCCCCCAGCTCCGCCTCCCCCGCCTCCTCCGGCGGTTCCGCCGCCGACGCGGAGAAAGCCACGGTGGGCAGGCGGAAGGACGGCCGCGGGGCGATGTGCGTCAGCGGCAGGCGATGCGAGGCGTTGCGCAGGGCGTGGAAGGCGGCGGGCAAGGGGGCAGTGGGGAAGAGGGTCTGAGTGGTAAGCGGGGGGCGGGGGGAGGGCGGTCTGGACGCCAAGGGCTGGTGGTTGGGCAGACAGGAGAAGGCGAGAGGCGGCGGAGTGACGCGAGGACACGGCAGAGTGCGCGCAGATGGGGAGAGATACTTGCGCGCCAGGCGGTGGGCGGCCAGGCGCGCGGAGAAGGAGGAGGAGAGGGAGTGGCGCGGGGGAGGAGAGATAGGGGGACCTGCAGATGCGGCGACGGGGTCTCGGCGCTCGGGTGAAGCACCGCATGGCAACGCGTTATCGGGCGCGCCGGGTGAGGCGTCTACCGCGAGGCTCGCTGGTTGCGTGTGCGAGGCGCGCGACCGCGATGCAAGGAGCTCGCAGCTGTGCAGGACGCGCGGTACAAGGGCGGCGAGCGCGGGAAGGTGGGAGAGAGCGGCGGACGGCAGTCTCTGGCGCGCGAGAAGCAGGGCGGACGCCATGGCGCTGCACCGCGTCGGCCCGACTCCAGTATATCCTCCGCGAGGGTTTCGTCGCCACGACGGCGCTTTACCTGGGCGTATGGCTCTACGTGGAAGACTCGAGGTTCTACAGCACTCTAAAGTCTATTTCTTACCTATCAGTACACGGTTGCGCAGTTCTCACGCAAGAAATATTATCTGGCCTTCAACGATGAAAGCTTGTCACAATGGTCTGCGTGACCCGCAAGCCCTGGACTTGGGAATACCAAGGTTGGTGCATGAACCGCGCCTGTATGGAACTTGTATGGGCTGGGCAGGTCGGGAAATTCTGGGTTTGCGAGTACAGTGTTGTAAACATGAGTTGTGTTTACATGCTTTCTCTGGGATTTCCTCTGTACTTGTCCACCTTGCGGAACTGTACTTCGCATAGGAAATGCAGCACTGTACGCATTTGGGGCATCCCGGACTGGCTCGTCAGATTCCGCGGGCTGGTATGGCTGACAAGTTGTCGAAAGCCAGGCCCAGCCACACAGCCTGGCAGGCAGAGTTGAGGTGAACAGCGCGCCAAATCGACTCAGGCGGCTCGTGATCTCAAAAAGACACTGAAAAGTAGATGGAGTGACGTGGACATCAATTCCAACAACCTTCACGAGGCCGCAACTAGAAAATGCGACTCGACATGTGGTTTTAGCCAATGATCCTCGACAAGTAGGTGGAGTCAACAAGGTTTCAGGCACCCACGTGGCAACACGAGATTGACGTGGCTGCGGTGAAAGGGCCAACTTCGATTTCCCACACATTATGTCCGGTAACAATTCAATTTGGCTCACTTTTATAATATAGTGTAGAGTACAGCGGAAGTTTGTCGCGAACTGTTGTAGCAGTTAGAGCCCCTCGGGGTTACATCCAGCCCTTGACGCAAGTTGGCGCATGTTCGTGCCAATTTGCGTCAGCAACAGATTCGGCAGGAGGGTTGGGCTGGATTCAAATCATCCCGCGATCCCCTCCCAAACGAATTTCCGCGCAAACTCACGGTTTGGATAGACTTCAGTTTGGATAAAATATTTAGGTAGTCGTCGGATCCCGGTTCCACCCATAGAAGTCCGTTTTCTTCCTAAGTACTCGTCAGTGTCCATTATTCTGAACGAAATACACCACGCTGTTTTCAGGCTGTCTTTATTTTCGAACCGACAGGTTAGGAGATCAGCGAAAAATCCTTGTCGAAACACCCCGGCAAAGTCACAAATAACAAAAAAACGTACCGTTCGAATTATTCACTTGGTTCCGCCCGACCTCGCTGAAATGAATCCAGCCCACCCCTCCTGCCAAATCTGTTGCTGACGCAAATTGGCACAAACATTCGCCAACTTGCGTCAAGGGCTGGATGTAACCCCGATGCTTTCTACCTGCCACAACAGTTCGCGACAAACTTCTGCTGTACTCTAGTCCAGATTCCAAAAGTGAGCAAACCTGAATATAGCTCGGGGCATGATGTGAGGGAATTCGAAGTTGGCCCGCGGTGAAATGAAATCAAGGATTTTCAAGCAAACTGAGAGGATAAGGAGACTGAGGGCCTGGTACTTTGTTCGGAGTCTGGAAAACCTCCAACTTTTAGGGCGAACAAAACTTTCACGCGTTTCGTGGAGGTTCACAATCGCGTGTTCGAATTTGCTAACATATGTTACGGTACGACACGGACCTCGCGACACTAATTTGGGTGGTGGCGACATACAACATGTCGCAGCAGCGGGCTTCGGGAAAACACCACAGCACCTGCTCTACGCGAAGTGACGCTTTCGTCAATAATGTAGTTTCATTTCGTCTGCGTCGCGAATACTGCCTGGATTCTTCCAAATACGAACGCAGACTGTTTTTGAGTACGAATTTTGACTTTTCCGAATCCGTCACCAGTTCGCGAAAGCTGATTAACAAAGAAAAAATTCGCCACGTTGACTAAAAAAGTAACCCGAACAGATCTATTAAACCGAACCAGAAATATCGCGCCCTGAACGCAAGTACACTTGTTTTTCTCGATTGTCTCATCCGGAATAGTTCAAATTTCATTCCCATCTACCAGGTTCTCAGCATGACTGAGAACCTGGTTTTTCTCATGCTCGTCAGTATTACGGAATATTGGGATGTACCCTATGACCCAATCAATGAGACTATCTTTGGGTACTCCGAGCAACGCCTGCCCCTCGTGCTCGAGGTCATTTGCAAAGGACGACGCCTCCAAGCACTCGTGGACAGCGAAGCATCACACAACGTCTGCAACAAGGCAGTAATCGACCGACTACGGGGAGAGTACAAGCATTCAGGATTCTCTACAACGATGGTGGACGGCAGCAAGTTACCAGTATACGGCAAAGCAGTGCTACACCTACAAATCGGACCACTGCGCTGGAGACCTGCACTCACCATCACCAACATCAAAGGGCTTGACTTGATCTTCGGGCGAGACTTCCTGAAAAGATTCAACCCCGAGATCAACTGGGTGAACCGCACCGCAAGCATCTACAACAGTGGACGGAGAGTACAGCTACCCAACTGGGACGATACATGAGATATCCCAGTGGAGACACTCGCACGATTCGAGAAGGACGTAAAACGAACCGACACCGGGTTCCTGGCGATAGCAACAAAGGTGGAGGATAACGGAGTAAAAAACTCGGAACCTCCGGGAACGATCAAGGAATTATTGAAGGAGTTCCAAGACATTCTTCCCGACGATCTTCCAAACGAGCTACCGCCATACCGCACACATCAACACGAGATCGTGGAGGAACCGAGTTCGAAGCTGACCTTCCGAGCACCATATCGGCTCAGCCCTACAGAGCTGACCGACATGAAAAAACAGATCGAGTATCTCCTAGCCAAAGGACTCATCCAACCATCCACTTCGCCATACGGTGCCCCAGTACTCTTCACACCGAAACCGGACGGAAGCCTGCGCATGTGCATCGACTACCGAGCTCTTAACAAGCAGACCATCAAGAATAAATATCCGATACCGCGAATCGATGACCTGCTTGACCAGCTTCGGGGAGCTACGGTATTTTCCAAACTGGATCTGCGGTCCGGGTACTGGCAGATACGGATGGCGGACAACTCTATCCACAAAACTGCCGAAATGAACCACATTCTATGACCACTTTTGGACGAGTGCGTGGTGGTGTACCTGGACGACATCCTCATCTACTCGCGCAACATGTAGCAGCACGTCGAACACCTGCGACGCGTCTTCGAGATTCTTCGACGAGAACGGTTCTACGTCAAACTGTCCAAGAGCGAATTCGCCCTTGAGAAGGTCCAGTTCCTAGGACACATAGTGAGCGCTCAAGGAGGTCACGTCGACCCCAAGAAAATCGAGGCCGTACGTACGTGGAAGACACCCGAGAACGTGAAGGAGTTGCAGCAGTTCCTAGGCTTCGCTAATTACTACAACATGTTCGTGCCACAGTATGCGAAACTCGCAGCACCACTTACGAATCTGCTAAAAAAGAACACGCCCTACAAATGGGAGCCGAAGCACCAGGAAGCCGTGGAGCAGCTGAAACAAGCACTCACGTCCGCACCAGTACTCGTCCTGCCAGTTCCCGAACGCGACTACGTCATCGAAGCTGACGCAGTGACCAGGCAGTGGGAGTAGTCTTGATGCAAGACCAAGGAAATGGACTGCAACCAACCGCCTACCTCAGGAAGAAACTGCATAGGGCAGAACTAAACTACCTGATACACGACAAAGAGGCCCTTGCCATCGTCATCGCCTTCAAAGCGTGGAGATGTTATCTCAAAAGACGAAGAACAACGGTCTACACCGATCACTGCAGCCTGAAATATTTGAAGAAACAACCCAACCTTTCCAGGCGGCAGGTCCGGTGGATCGACTTCCTCGAGACACACTTCCACTACGACATCGTGTACAAGCCCGGCCACAAAAACAAAGCAGACACCCTCAGCCGCCCTGCACACGTTGCCGCTATTCAGATCGAAGGGATGAATCCACTCCTCAAGGGACTCTTCACACACGGGTACGCCATCGACCCCGAAATCCCCTTGGCTGAAAAGCGACATCTGCTACAGTGGGACAGTGACATCGCGTACCGGAAAGGATCAACAAATATCTGGGTACCCAATTACCCTCCTTTGTGCCAGTTACTCCTCGAAGAATACCAGGACGTCCTCTACGCCGGACACTTCGGTAGCAACAAGACGCTGACCGGTATTGCAAGACACTACTACTGGTCCCACTTGGCAGAGGATGTTCAGAAGTTTGTCACCTCGTATGATACATGTCAACGGATGACGAGCAGCAAGCAGAAAAAGGCAGGACTACTGCAGCCTCTTCCTGTCCCAGAACAGTCATGGCAAGTGGTTAGCCTGGACTTCATCACCGGGTTACCACCTACCACCAGCGGTCGTGACGCAATCCTTGTCGTCATCGACAAGTTCTCCAAAATGGGACACTTCATCCCGACACACACGACAGCACGCACCGAGGAGACAGCACAACTCTTCGTTCGTTACATCATATCACAGTATGGCATCCCAACCACACTCATCTCCGACTGAGACCCCAAGTTCACCAGCAAGTTCTGGAAGGAACTTATGTCTCTACTCGGGACCAAACTCGCCATGTCATCCGCTTACCATCCGTAGACAGACGGACAGACCGAGCGCCTCAACCAAATTGTTGAGCAACTCCTCCGAGCAGCCTGCAAGGACGAGATCTCCAAATGGGACCTGCACCTGCCCGTTCTAGAGTTTGCTTACAACAACGCTACACATGCCGCTACTGGACAGATGCTGTTCTTCCTCTGCTACGGACGCCACCCACTCACACCACAGAAACCGACAACATCTGCTACAGTCCAACCTGCGCATGATTTCATCACAACCATGCATCAGCTTTGGGATCGGACCCACAAGCGCCTCCTCAACATTCAGCAACAACAAAAGCGCCAGGCCGATCGCCATCGCAACGACCACACCATCACAGCGGGAGACCAGGTGCTTCTTGACACCCGCAACTTGGACATCAGCCACCTCCCATCTAAACTTCGACCTCGCTTCTGCGGGCCTTTTCTCGTTGAAGCACAGGTCACTCCTGTTACCTTCTGCTTACGCCTGCCAGCTACCTGGAAGATTCACAATGCCTTCCATGTCCAACTTCTGAAGACCTATCGGGATCCTTACACGATCTTCGTCGGACGCCAACCGCCGGCGCCGCCGCCTGTCCTCGTCCAGAATGAACTCGAGTACGAGGTCGAGTCCGTACTTGCACACCGCCGTCATCGGAATGGTGCCGTGGAGTTTCTCATCCGTTGGAAGGGTTATGATCCTTCTGAGGACAGCTGGGTACCTGAGTCCGACATGGGTAACGCCCGTCGTCCTCTGCATGACTACCTTGTCAAGCAGGGTGTTACTTCTACCACCCAGCTTTGAGGGGGGGAAGTGTGAGAGTACGACCCCGTTACACCACTTGTCCCTTTTCTTATTTCCTTCCTCGTTCATTTCTCTTTATCTCATCTCATTTGGTTTCCTATTCTCCATTAACCTTTGGTTTATCCTGCTATTATAATTATATCAGCGACCAGGCTTGGGATGTACTGGTGCGCTATCTGGCGTAATCCTCCCGTAATCCCTTAAAGCCAGTAGCCTCGCGTGGCTATACGCAGGGTAATTCTATCTTCTAGAAGGGTCTATTCCCTTAGGAAAAGATAAATCTGGTTACCTGATGTACTCTGGAAGTATAAAAGCGCCTTGTACTGATCGATAGTGCAACCTTTCCTCGACACATTCGATTCTGTGACACTCTTGGTCGCCTCCTCGTCCCTTTCTTCCACCCTGACTTGACTTCTTTCACTACTGTAGCATACTTAGTCGAGCACCTACACTCCCCCGAAGCCTGCTGGCGTGTGGCTTGTACTAAGGCCCAGTTGGCCCTGGCCCCACCCCCCACTACGCCATTATCTACTTCCTCATCACCCGCCTCCCTGACCGCCTTGCCCCTGCCCGCGACACCCTCCTTGCTCGCCACCCCTTTAAGCTTACCCTTGACCTCTTCTTTACCTCCCTGACTGAGATAGAGGACTGTTTCCACGCCAATGTTGGTTCCACTGGCGCGCTTGCTGTCTCTATCTTTCAGGATAATGCTCTCTCCCTGGTGACTGTCCCTCCAGCCTCCGCCTCTGTCGTCGAGACTGCAACGGTTGCCTCTACCCCAGGCCGCTCCTCTGGCGTCAAGGGCATGGGCGGGGGGGGCAAGGTTCGTGGGGGGTCGGCAGTAGTGGATGGAGGGGGTGCGGGTGCAGACAGAGAGGGTGGTCAGTCGGAGTCGGGGACTGTGCAGAAGCAGTAGCAGCAGCCATAGCAGCAGCAGCAGCCGCACCAGCAGCAGTAGCTGCCATGGGGCCTGGCGGGCCTTGGGAGTGGTGGTCGTGGTGGAGGCCGTGGAGGTTGGGCTTGGGCAGCCGATGCCCTGGGGTTCGCATGGCTCTTCTATGAGCCAGGGTGCTTGTGTATCTGGAGGGGCGTTGACCTCTACGTACGAGTTGCTGACCGGCCCGCAGGCGGGCCCGGTCTGCGGGTGCGCGGGGCACGCCGCCGCTCGCTGTTTCCGTCGCCTGGACGACCGTTACTGTACCTAGTTCGGCCCCCTGGTGCAGGTACCCCACTGGCTCACCTTACTTCGTCGTGGTATTCCGATCTTTGATATGAATATGATTCAGATAAATGATGCCCTGCATTCTCTATCTGCCGATGACTCTACTGCTGCTAGTTCTTATTATCCTGTTGTTTGTAGCCTAGGAGCCACTACAATGTGTATTCTAGGATCCCCTGATATGTCAGACATTAATGCGCAGGATCTGTTAGAGGTTCTTCATTGGGTCCCGCCACGTCGGCCCTCTCCTTTGTTCTAGAATCTGGCACGTCTCGTTGCTTCTTTAGAGACAGTACTGCTCACATCCCTCTTCCTGTGCTTGTCCATGTTGGACTAGCCTACTCCTTTGCTACAGCTGTCGCACGTAGCACCACCACTCTCCCCTGTCCAGCTGTCCGCTCCGGCTCCCTCACCGGTCTACACATCCCCTTGTTTGCCAGGAACCTAGTGGGTGTCGGTCACCTACAGGACGGAGGATTCATCACCATGTTCCCTAACCGCGAGAGACATGCAGCTTACACTGACACAACCAACGGTCGCCACGTAGTCACTTTTGAGAGTGATCCAGGGCTGGATTTCTTCACACTACACACTGAGTCCCCGCCGGCTGTTGCGTCTCCTGAGGTCACCACGTCGTGCTCCTGTCGCTCCCTCGCCCACACGAACCTACTGTGGCACCACCGCTTAGGTCACCCTGCACTCCATCATCTTAGGCACATGTCACAGCACGGTCTAGTCACTAGTCTCCTTGCGTCGCTCCCCACCCTGCCTACATCGGTAGCGCCACTGTGCACCTCCTGCGTCGAGGGCCGGCAGCACACCGCCCTTCACTCCTCCTTGTTTCCTCCTATCACAACGCCACTATAGACACTGTACATGGACGTCTCGGGCCCTGCCCCGATCCATGGTCTTAGTCATGAGCACTACTTTCTAGTCGTCGTTGACGACTTCTCGCATTCCACCACCATGTTCCCCTTGGAGCGGAAGGCTGAGAGGCCTACCGTTCTCCTCCTGTGGCTACTTGCTGTTCGCGCTCAGCACCACCAGTCTATAGTCCACTTACACTCTAACCGTGGTGGACGATTTGCTTCTGGCGGTCTATTACTGTTCTGTAGTGTAGAGGGAATCCGTCAGCGTACACACTACGGGACTCTCCGCAGTAGAATAGGGTCGCTGAGCGACGCATCGGCCTGGTCATGGAGGTGGCTCGCGCATCCATGGTCCACGCTGGTGCACCCCATTATCTGTGGTCGTTCGCCATGTGCTACGCAGCTCACCAATTTAACCTGTGGCCGCACTCCCTGTGGCCACAGGTTTCACCGACCCGGCTCTGGACCGGGTCTTCTTGTGATGCATCAATGCTTCACGTCTAGGGCAGCCTTGCTCACGTCCGCGCCTCCGGCATGGACAAGCTCTCAATTCGCACACTTCCTTGTGTCTTCTTGAGGTTTCTACTTGACGCCCCTGACTGGCTATTCTACCACTTGGCACACCACCGCTTCAACGGCTCTTGTGACGTTACATTCGACAAGACGCTCCCCTACTAAAGGCGCTACCCTTAGTGTAGCGCTCCTGTGCCTCCTCCTCCTCTCTTCCTCATCCCTGCCTTGCCTGTTGCACCCCTCCCACACCACCTGCCCCAGTCTGGTTTCTCCCACGCCACTCAGTTCCCCCCGGTTGGGCTCGTGGGGGAGTCGGCTGACTCGGGGGCCCAGCTGCTGGGGGTGCCACAGGGACAGCAGCAGCAGCAGCCATAGCAGCCGCGGCAGTAGGAGCAGCTGCAGCCTGCCCTTCGTCTCCTTGGTCTTCCCTCAGGTTTGCCTGACCCTTTGTACCGCCCGCTGTTCCTTCCCTCGGACTCATCTTCGGCTAGTTTTCCCCCGTGCTCTCCTCCGTCCCCTGACTTGGCCCCCTTCCCCCCTCGTCCCCAGTCACATATTCTTCACCACTAGGTTCGTCGTCCCTTTGGTGCTCGTCCTGTCTCTCCTCATCCTGGTGACCCTATGGTCCTTCGTTCGCATGCTCCTCTATTCTCAGTCCCTCTGTTACCTCCCCAGTCGTCGCCCTCATCGTCTCCAGCTCCTCCCTCTGACTCTGCTTGTACTACTTGTCCACTCTTCTCGCGCTAGCTTGCATCGCTTGTCACTGACCCTACTGCTCCTCTTGAGTCTGTCTCTACGCTTGTCGCTGTCATCGCTGACTTTGCTGCTAGCCATCGCCTTGACTACGTTGCCGCTCTGGTCTCTGGTACTGCCCGTCCTCGTTCCGTCGGGGGTGCACCTGCCCTTGGCAGTAACGTGCTAGAGGAGAGACAATACGAGTTGGCCCACTCTACTGCCGATGCTCCCCATCTCTGATCCATGCTTGTATCCCCAGAGGGCGACCCAGACGCCTTGGACATCCCTGTCCCGCGCTCTTACATTTGGGCAGTGTCGGAGCCCTGGGCAGCCTAGTGGATATAGGCCATGGAGGCTGAGATGGCATCCTACAGATCCGCAGTTGACGCAGTTCCCCCCCCTGAGGTGAACGTAGTCGATGGCTTACGGATCTACAAGGTGAAGCGTGCACTTGGAAAGTCGCCGAAGTTCAAGGCTCGTTACATGGCTAGAGGCTTTAGTCAGCGAGAGGGTGTGGACTTCTTCAATACCTTCTCTCCAACCCCAAAGATGACTACCCTTCGGGTGCTTCTTCACCTAGCCGCGCAGCGTGACTACGAGCTTCGCTAATCAACATTCTCTATAGCCTTTTTGCAGGGTAGTCTGCATGAGCAGATCTACCTCCGGCGCCCAGAATTCTATGGGTCCTTCCCACCTATGACCCAGTGGATCCTGCACCACCCTGTCTACGACCTGTGTCAGGCGCCCCGTGAGTGGCACGACACGCTCCGCAGCACACTTGCTGAGCTTCAGTTCTTCCTGTCCTCTGCTGACCCCTCTCTCTTTGTTCGCAGGGGTCAGACCCTGTTCTACATCTTGGTATGTAGACGATCTTATCTTTGCTACTCCTGACAGAGGCGCTCTGGCCTAAGTGAAGGCCGAGATACTTAGGAGGCACACTTGCACTGACCTGGGGGAGCTGAAGCGCTATCTGGGCTTGGAAGCCTCTCGTGACCATGCCGCTTGCACGAGCACACTCTCCCAGTCCCATATGGTGCAGCAGATCCTTTAGAGGTTCAGTCTCCAGTTTTCCTCAGCACAGCCCACCCCTCTGCCTATGGATCACAAGCTCTCTGCTCCTGTGCCGGCTGAGCCGGTCGAGCCTATTGGTCCATACACAGAGCTGGTGGGGTTCCTTATGTACCTAATGACCTGCACTCGACCAGATCTAGCGTACCCTCTTAGTCTTCTGGCTCGCTTTGTTGCGACATCCACACCGACCAGTCCGCTGGTGAGTACCAGTGGTAGTGCGGTATCTGGTGAGTACATCAGGTTTGGGGCTTGTGCTAGGAGGACGGGAGCCAGTGGTGCTCATTGGACACACAGACGCATCACGGGCTGACGACTTGGAGACGCTCAGGTTATCGTAGGGCTACTATTTTAGCCTTGGTGCTGGTGCAGTCTCTTGGAGGTCCACGAGGTCATCATCTGTAGCTAAGTCCAGCTATGAGGCAGAGATCTATGTTGGGGCCATGGCTGCTCAGGAGCTCCGCTGGCTGTCGTTCTTGCTCATTGACTTAGGTGAGCCACCTAGGTCTGTCCCCGTCCTGTTTGCTGACAACAGGGCCATGATCCTCCTTTGTCAGGAG